AAAATTTAAATATAATCACATAATGAGGAGGTCTAATAAATTTGAAATGAAAAACTAACAGATTGACAAGTAGCAACACATTAATTAAAATGTCTAATATGATGACACATGGCAAAAGAACTACTCTTTTATTAGTATAGATTTTTCAACTAAATGTTCATTATTATTGATTTGTCAACTAAATTACACATGTTTATGCTATAGTATTAAAATCTACATAAGTATTGCCAAGTAATTTATCTTTATATATATATATATATATATATATATATATATATATATATATATATATATATATATATATATATATATACTTTCTTAAGATTTCAAATTTAAGATTTTTTTTTAAATCTAACTCCAACATTTATTTATTTATTTAAACTTTGTCAAAATATATAATAATTATTATTATTTGTTTCATTTTTATATTTATTTATATTTAGTTATTTAATATTAATCAATTAGTTTTAACAATTTGTTAACAAAACAAAATAGTTTGTAACCGTTAAGAAAATAAAGTCTTCAACTCTTAACACTATCTTTTATATCAAACCTAGGGGTTGTTTGATTTACATCTTACCAACATGTTTACCCTCTTATTAGGTCATGTGCCTCCTACCTAGTCATTTAAAAAATGGAAAATATCTGTTGTAGATATTTTTTGGGTCGGAGGGGGGGTATTTCAAAATTTATTCACAAAAACAGATCATTCCAGCTATAGACATGCATTCCGCAGAGAATCCACTACAGGCTCCGCGGAACAACGCAATCTCCGCGGAACAAAAAAATGTTGTACGATTTGAGACTGAGTAATGATTCTCCGCATAGATACATCCGCGGAGACATTAAACCCTCCACGGAGTGATTGTTTTGATGTTCATTAAATCCTCCATAGAGGTCGTGACGAGGGCTCCGCGGAGGCCTTAACCTCTCCACGGAATGGGTCGTTAAAAGGGTATTAGCAATGTTTTTTTGTGATATAAATGATTTTGTTTTTTTTTTTTTTTTGTCTATTTGCAAAATTCAATTGGTTTTAGGGTTGAATATTTTTTCAAAGAAAATATGAGTTTTGTTATTTTATATCGTCCACCTTGCGTTCGTCAGCCGTCTTTCCATGAGCAGGCCACTCAATATCGCAATATGTTGTACATTTTAAGATAAAAGTTTTACAATTATTTATATAAATTATCGTCTAAAAAGTAGTTAAAATTTAACAAAGAAATTAACCACCCAGAGTCAGTAACTGCTAGTAACCTTGACCAAAACTCCACATCCAGTGGGAGTACATGCAGCCTATGTGTAGTGTTGAGGTTGGAAGAAATCATATTTCATTCTTTCCAAAAACTCAACGTACTAGCAACATAAAGATTGTCTAACCGTAGATGATTTGAAACATCATTACTCTCTTCATTCACAATGTCTTCATTTGCTTTTTCAGGACACTACAATACTTTTTTTTTCCTTGTTTTGGTGATTTTCTTCAATTTTGGTGTGGATTGCATCTAAAGAATTAAAATGTTAAATAATTATCAATAATGTAATATTTTATAAATCCACCAAAATTAAAATATGAGTTTTGTACCACTGTGAACGACGTCCGTTGATACCATGCAACACTCCTCTTTCTTTGCGGCCTAACAATAGGAGTCATTGTTTTTTTTGTGATGTTCACCCACGTCCGGTGACGGCTCAATATGTGTCGGTGTACGCCTAACATCCCCCTCCAAACCATGCGTAGATGTATCATCATAATGCAGCTGTATACCATGGTAATATGTTTCTTCCTCCTCTTCATTTACCATGTCCTCCTCCTCTCCAAACCCTGTATCTAGTTCATATTTTTTCTGTAATACACGGTTTACTTTAGAAGTTAAGTCAGCCACAACGCCTATCAGACGCTTCACCAATGACTTTGTGCTCGTCTTCTTCTTCTTTACCGACCTTGTTGATGCGTCGCTTGAAATATAAGTTCTTTCTATTTCAGGCGGTTGTGAGGTAGAAGCATTTGTGGCAGTTTCAGTCGAAGATGTTTCCGACTTGTACTTATTTCTTCGAGGAGGCAAGGCAACAATAGATGGACTATGTTGTCGTGGAGGAGACTCTTCATGGTTAAGAATCCAACTGGCATATCAAATATAAAACGGTAACATAAGCTTTGTTTCGTTTGCCACAACAACAATAGGATGGTTGTTAGGTTGCAAAAAGCAGATTGTTAGTTTAACATGAAAAAAATTGGAATTTATAATTATATATAATTTTAATATAAAAAGCATACCACCGACACGTTAATTATTCGACGACATTAAACCCAAGATAACGATGTTTTTCTTCTCCACAACCTAATTCATGGCAATTCTATCGGCATGCGTATATAATACTGGGCTACCTCTGGGAACGTCTCCAAAATTCATATCTATGGAGAAAAAAAGTAAGTATGATGCTATTATAGTATAAAAATGAAAGTAAAATGGTATTATATAGTACCAACGGAAGTACAATGCTATTTTCGTATAAAAAACGAAAGTATGATGACTATTTAAATGCATTAGAAACTAACCTTAAACGGAAGCATAAAACCGGCAACGTTATACTTGTGTACTTTCTTGGATTCGGGATTGGTATGCTTGAATTTTCTAAATTTTTCTATTGTCTTAAACATTCCACGCATCAACCCCTAAGTATAGGTCCATAAATATGTACCCCATGCAAACCTGCAATTTTCAATTTATTTATTATAATTATTATTGTATTTATATATAATTTTTAAATGTAATATTGTTAGGCGTGTCAAACCCAACAAATAAAGGGGTACAAAATGACTCCAAAACAATGTTACTTTGCACTAAAAATGTACTACAAGGTAAGCAGGGTCGATCCACAGAGACACGGAACAAATGCTTATACCTTTTTGCGGAAGGTACAATAATAGTCACCTAAATGGGGGGTTGGTATGCAATAATTTAAACAAAAGAATAAAGCAATAAGTAAATGACCAATTAAATGAAACAAATTCAAGATTTGTGAGAACTCCAACCCTATGCAAGACAAATTAGCAATGTGATTCCATGGATGACAAGATATTTGTTTAATATTATCTAAGTTGGTACATGGAAATGCTAACAAGATCTAGCACCTACCATTCACCATATTGATTAACCAAAATAACCTCTTTGATTAATCCTAACCTTACCAATCTAATCTAAACAAGCTCTTATAATTAGGTTGAAAGATTGCATTAAACTTTATGTGAATGTTCCCAACAACACTCAATACTCCTCACAAGCTCGGGAGCATAAGAATGTGTGAATAAGATTTACACTAAATTCATTCAATAGAAATCAGTTTAGTGCTTGTTACCTAGTCCAATTTACAAAACAATTACGGATTTTGCAATTAGATAACTTGAATGATCTAACCCTAATTCAAATGGCCAAAAAGAATCACAATTAGAATCAAAAATTCGATTGAGACAAAATCAAATTCACTAGATAGAAAATTGAAAGAAAACATCAAGTCATATGATTGAAATCACAACTAGAAGTCAAGACATAAAGTTGGAGAATCTAGGGTTCTAGCCACTCATGGCTAGAACAAGATCACAAATCTAGAAAATGAAATTAAAGTTCTTACAAAATGAAATCAAATGTTCCCAAGTGTTAATCAACTTCAAAATCCTCAAGAAAATCACTTTCTCTACTCCAAAAGTCGACCCCCTAAAGAAAAGGTCGGTTCCCCCCTTTAAGAATGGTGAAAAACTGCTTTAAAACCCGCATTTACGTTTACACGGCCCGCATAAATTAACACTGTCATTTACACAGCCCACGTAAACGCAAAAATATACTACGCAGAAATATACGTTTACACGGCCCACGTAAACGCAAGGCTTGCATTTACACGGCCGTGTAAATCTCTGTAAAGCCAAAATCTTCATTTATTTGATATCTTGCTCCTCGATGCTCCGCAAGTCCTGAAATTTTGTCCACAACTCTTATTTACCTCCTCCAGCAAGATCCTACCTCCAAAAGTCCCTGAAATATCACAAAAATGTGTGAATGAAATTGCCTCATGAAAAATCCCGAAAAACATGCAAAATGCATGAGTTTAAACCTAAATGCAATGCACCTTTATGAACTAAAACTACAAAATGAATGCATGAAATGCACCTAACAAATACCTGTTCCAATCATCTATATTATCAGCAAGCTTGTATACTTCCGCGAGAATGCTCGTTTTAACGTCCTGTCCATGGAGACCTTTCAACATAAAAACAAGTTGGATAAGCATTACAGCATCTTCATCCTAAAATGCCAAATAATTCGGAGACATAATGTAGTCTTCTAAATCTTTGAGCCGCAAACGTGCATCTGTAATGTGTGGGAACAACCGAGTACTAAGATTTGAATTTGACCGGCCTCTTTCGTCATGGAGTAAATCCACACAAGGACCAACTCTTAAATTACTAATCAAAATATATTCAGTTTCACTAAAATCCAACTGCATCCCCTGTATCTTAAAAAGAAACCTCCTAATTTCAAACACTTGTTGAGACCTTACTTCATGCAACATCATCAAATGCACAAGTAAGGGGTCACCATTGGATACATGCATTCCTAAGAATCTTTCAAACGGTGAAGCTTCAAATAATACTCGTTGTAATTGTGTTAGGAGCGGAAAATAGTCTTTAATGATCGTACCGACCACGACTTTTAAAGTTAAATCTGCTTTTTGATCGAGATCATCATGCTACAAAACATATACATTTAATTTAATATAAAACGTTAGTAATTAAAAATAAAAAACAAGGTTTCAAAGATACTTTTCTAATTTGGTTTATGAAATAAATAGCAATGTACTTTTTATTTAAGAAATTAATTGATATAAAAGGGCAGAAAGGGGGGGGGGGGGGGGGGAGGCATTTAAAGTCATTCCGCGGAGGTTAAAGGTCATTACGCGGAGACCCCTCTGCAGAGTGGCCTATACCTCCGCGGAGAGACATTTTGACCTTTTTTGATTCATTCCGTGGAGAGAATACGTAAATCCACGGAGATCCCTTTGCGGAGTGACCCACCCCTCCGCGGAATGGATCTTCTCTAATTCAAAATCAATTAATCCTAAATCTAAATATGTACATATTGAAGGTTATCAATTGCGTTTCGTAACATTTGAATCTTAAATATATACAATACGACATTAATCCAAAGAGGGAAACGTGAAAAATACTCGGGAGTCGTATCCATCGATGAAAATATTGGGGAAATTGCGCTTCATCAGTGCCATAAATTCCTGGTTCAAGTCGTTGTCGCCCGAAAATGACGTCGTTGAACTCGTTGTCGTCGGGTTTGAACTCGTTCTCGCCGGAAGATCGATAAACTCTACCGATGCGGAAACACGAACGAAAAATGGAATTGGAAGAGGAATCGGAGGGGACCAAAGAGGAGACCCATTTTTGTCAAATAGGAGCAGGGGAAATTACGAAAATACCCCCACTTCGTGGAGATTTCGTCGTTCTGCGGAGCCCATAGAGGGTTCTCCGCGGAATGCATGTCTATCGTCGGAAAGACCTGTTTTTGTGACTAAATTTGGAAATACACCCCCCCCCCCAAAAAAAAATGTCTATAGTCGGTATTTTCCCTTAAAAAAAATATGTTGACCGAAACATTAAAACCTCTATTCCATTTTCTACCTCTAAAATATACACGCACGCCTCCATCAAATGCTTTGTTGCTGCTCAAAGAAAATGGACAAGTTATGGGTGTCAACAGCTTCTCTAATTCATCTACAACTTCCCGTAATAGCTTCCTAATCAAGTCGGTTGTGGTTCTTAACTCCGATTACAGGGAGACCATAACTCGAGTATTCAGCAGCTTCGGCAAGTTCGCCGTCTCTGTTGTTAACAATTCTCTCATAGGTTAGTTATATGATTGTCTTTATGAATCATGCTAGTGAACTATGATTGAGCTCCTGCCTCTCCTTTCTTTAAAATTATTGCTTTTGGGTATTATGGGTAAGAAACTCCATTGTAAAAAGATATATGATGATTAACGGTGCGAGCAAATTGCTGTTATGATTTCCACATAAATAAGAACTGTGGTTCTTCTGGATTCTCCCTCCCCCAAATCTTTCCATCGTTCCTATGATTGTTACCGGAATAGAAGGAGTCATGGATGAAGGAAAATCCATCGATGAAATTATCAATTTTGGGATTATCAATAAATTTTGATTTATTTTGCAATCGGATTGTATCTGGTGTCACTATACATTCAAATCGTAAGATTGATTGCTTCTCGTTGATTCTCCAAAACATGATTTCTTGAAATAATATTTACTTGTTTTTATTAATTCTCTGATTGGTTATGTTCTCATATATCCGACATATATAAAATTCTCAGTATAAGAATGGTCATTTGAGCGTATCTAAATAGATATTATGTTTACATATGGATCCCTAGTTACATTCCATTTAAGATGAGGAATAGAAGTAATCCGACGTGCTTTTTACATATCTTTTGTTATTTGGGACTCTATTCACCTCTTTTGGCTTCTATTGAATCGAAAAGTAGGCTTGATTGTAAGATTATTCAAATAATCAAATAATTTTTTTATTGACCACAATTATAGCTAAACTTAGAGGTCAAAAAATCTAATGGAATAAAAATAAAAAAAAAATTAAAAAAAAATAAAAAAAAAATAAAAAAAACCCTCTATCATACACATTAATCAACGAGTTACACCAACATTTAAAAAACAATGAAAAAACCAAGACATCATACAGGTACTAGTGAGGTGATTGGTGAGCTACATTAACAAAACATACACACATTTTCTTTTTCAACTTCGAGGAGTTTACCATTATTTAAGGTCTCTGATACGTAACTTTAGGTTATGATTTTGGATTATGATCCTACTACAATACAATATTTTGGATTATGATCCTACTACAATACAATTCATGAGCTATGAGGAGGTTCCCCTTGCAGAGAATATGATTATTTATATGTATCCTAATCAATTTCATAAAAAGTGTGCACTTCACCATATTTCACTTATTCTACACAACACTTGATATTGTATAAAAATGCCCGTTATTTATCAAATATCAATAATGAGTCTTCTACATATGTTGCACAACCTACAATGATTTCAATACATTCTACATGACATAAGTTGGTTTCATTGATACTGATTTGTAGATGCTTGATTGCTGACTCCACTTGTATATTTAGTGTTTTAGATGTTGTACCCTTGATTGTACATTGTTATCGTTGGATTCACTTTGCAAGTGTTGGTTTAATTTATGTAGAAAATATAAAACTTGAATCGTATAGCAAAATGAGTGTTGGTTTAATTTATGTAGAAAATATAAAACTTGAATCGTATAGCAAAATGAACAAAAAAATAAAGTAATCATTTTTATCATTCAACATAGTCAGTCAAATGCATAATCAAACATATCATCGTTTCAATCAGTCACATGTAGATCTAGTCCGACTTCCTGTTAAACTCCTTGAATGAGTCTGATTCAATCAAATAACTATCAAACAATCCCTTATAATTTATAATGGAAAAGATGATACAACCATTAAATTCTCTCCAACACACTAATACAACACTATATATATATATATATATATATATATATATATATATATATATATATATATATATATATATATATATATATACACACACACACTAGGTATATTCTAATTTATCCAATTTTTATAATATAAAAAAAAAATGTAGATGAATGATATAACACTATATTTACTGTTAATACTATTCACCAACACTATTTATAATATTAGGTTTAGGATAGAGTTTGAAAATTTTCAACGTAAATTCTAAAGTAAAAGTGAGTCTAATGTAGATTTTAGCATGGGATAGGAAATGCCCTTAACAAAACTCTATAGAGTATACAAGACTAGAGAGTTTTAGATAGAAAAGTGTATCACATGTTAACTTATCATATACAACACTAGCCTTAAAATTTATCAAACCTTATCTTCAATTAGGTCGTATCCTTAAAAAACATCGACATCCGTAAACCACTTTCATCTCTCTAGTTTATAAATTAATCAATGGTATAAAAATAATATCATGGAGCACCATGAATATTTTTGTTTAGACCTTCTGGGTCAGCTCAACCACTAGGCTTGAGACAACATGACAACATATATAACCGTATCAACTAATATCTATCTCAATTTATTTTATATATTAGGAAAAGAGTTGCACAAAATAAACATGATCATTTTTTTTATTGGAAACTAAACACAAATGTCAACAAATGGAGCTTAAACTCTCTTGCCAAATAGCATACCCTTCATGGCATTCTTCTATTAGCTCCCACTTACATTCTTCAAAATAGACACCCACTAGATGTGGATTGGGCTCCTTATGAGCAACATGCTGCATTTACCTGATTTACATCTCAAGTGATGCTAATGTGGGTCAACTGAGAAGGTGCTAAAAGTTCACCTCAAAAGAAACTTTGAGTTACATTTTGGGAACTAAAGGAACTCTTACTATTTATATATATATGCCTTCCTAACAAAAGAATCCACCTTACTATTTACTTGATGAGTTTAATGTGTTAACAAAAAAAAGAAGGGTTATTTTGAGTGAAAACTTGGATTTATGTAGTAAGGGTAAGACACTAAACCCTTTAATCATTTGTCCTTAATCTTTTTTCCTCCCAACTTCTCTCATGTTAAAATTGGTGTTTTGTAAAAAAAAAAAAAAAAAAGTGAATGTAAAAGAAAACAAAAAAAACAGCCACCAACTGTCGCATTTTGTTAGCTTGAAGGAGGATTTAGGTATAGAAATACTTTTATGAATATAATATTGTTACTCAAATATAAAAAAAAAAAATAAAAAAAAATAAAAATGGCATTTTTTCGTTATCTAGTAAGAAAAATGTCATCAACCATCAACATATTTTACCTTTTATGCTGCCCGCCTGCCCGGGGATAGATGGATGATTGCCCAAATTCCAAGACACCTCAGTTCTTCAGTTCTTGTTCATTTCCTGAAAACATAACCTCAAAAACAAAAACAAAAACAAAAAAAATCTACCTAAAAATTGGCAAGTTGAGATTTTGTAATCATAAGAGGTTGAAAAATTAGCAAATAAAGTGTGCACCAAACATTTTTAAAAACCAGTCATGGGTTTTACTACATTTTTAAAACAAGACCATTAAACCAAGTAAAACTAAAGAAAATACAGTTTTTTTTATTCTGCTCTATAGGCAAATGATGACTCTTTTGCTACATATATAATAAAGACTTCTTTTGCATGACTGGCTGCAACTTCAGAAGAATCACCAGACTCCAAAACTAAAAGATTGATGCATCATCTGCACAATGAATTGTAAAAAATCATAAAAACTTGATTTCAAATTTTAAATAACTTTGAACTTGTCATATATGTAATGTAAGTATGTAACCCCTGAAATTTTAAAAAGGTAAGTAACAAGATTCTCCAAATATAATCATAACCAACAAGTGTAAATATGTGTATACATTTAACTAAAAAAAACAAATATAATTCAATGACATAATAAGCAATTTTATAAAGCATGGGCCTTCAAAGACTAGTAGATAATCTACTAATTCATCACTAAAAGATTCAAATAATATTTGTAAATGGCCTTAAATTTCAAGTGTATACTATATCCTTTACTTTAAAGTGATCTCATGTGAAGTGTGGATTTGCCTATAGTTAGTAAAACAGGAAACATATAGTCTAAGTTGACAAACAACAGAATTTGCAAGCATACTAGTATTTCAAGAAAAAGTATAACCTTTTACTCACCTAGTGACCATGACCCATGTAAGATGCACCACCTTGTTGTGGCCTACTGCCGCCTTGACCCATCTGTGGATTGGGATACCCACCTTGCTGTTGATAGCTTGCAGCTCCCTGATTCACATATCCAGAATTGTTGACATGTGGCATACCCTGTGGATTTGCAGGGGGGGCAAGTCCTCCAAGAAGATTAGTAATTCCCAATCCAGCTCCCTGAGAGGCAAGAAGTGCAGTCAACGCCTGCCCCAAAGCAGGAGTCAATGCAGGAGGAGGAACTGGTGGAGTGAACCCCATAGTGGGTGCAGAAGGAGCCATCAAATGACCTTGTCCTGCTCCTGCACCACCTCCTCCCATGGAAAACTTGGCCTTTTTTGAAGGATGATGATGATGACCACCATACTGATGATTATGATGTTGATGATGATGCTGGTGTTGCTGTGGATGGAAACCTTTCCCCATTTTCACACCATCAACAGCCTTCTGGCAATTCAAAATATGTCCTTCAAAGTTCTTGTGTGGCTCTTCAAGAGCTTTTTTTGCACTTTCGATGCTCTTATACACAAACAGTGCAAAACCTCTAGGCTTTCCCGTCTGCTTGTCTAATCCCAATGGCCCATCTTCAATCTCCCCAAATTTCGAAAAGAATTCTAGAAGTTTTTGAGGATCAATCTCAGCTGATACATTGCTCACGAATATCTTCCTTTGTGTGTATTCAGACACTGGAGGGGCGGTTGGTGGAGGCGCTGGGACTGGTCCGGCAGAAGCAAGCTGACAGGAGGTAATGCGATTCCCTATCTTCTTCTGAGGTTCTTTCAAAGCTTTTCGAGCACCACTTCTGTGCTTGAAGAGGATAAATCCGTATCCTTTTGATTTTCCAGAGACCTTGTCTACCACAGCCTTACAATCCTCAATCTCGCCGTACTTCTTGTACTCGCTAATTAGGGTTTCGGTGGTGGTATCCCATCCTAGACCATGAACGAATATCTTCCTGTGAGCAGGGTCTGCATCGGCAATCTTCTCGACACTTTCTACAATGTCAGGGTACTTGGAAACAGCCTCCTTCAAGAGTAAAACGAGTTGTTCCTTGGCAAACGGCTCGAGAAGCTTCTCGACAGGCTCGTCCGACAAATCTTCTGTTACCTGTCCGCCTCCGCCGTTCGTTTCAACCTTAACTTCTTTCACCTCGTTTCCCGTCGTTTGTTCATCTCCTTCTCCTTCTTCTTCTTCTTCTTCCTCTTCTTCTTCCTCTTCATCCTCATCGACATCGACTTCTTCTACTTCTTGAAGATCTTCCTCTCCTTGTTCATCGTTTTCTTTATTTTCGTCCAAATTTTGAGGTTGTTCGTTTCCATGCTCTAGCTCCTCCTTTACAACAGCATCACTGACGGTTGGATCCTCAACCGGCACTTGTTCTTCTTGTGAAGATTGTGAAGAACGAGACTTTCGCTTCTTGGCCATGGCTGATTTAGGGTTTCTTTCAGGTTTGGTGTAGGGAAGGGCTTCGAGAAAATTGTATCTTGTTTCTTACAGTATCTTCGTATGGTATGCGAGGGCTTTAATTTGTTTCCGTGTAGACATTTCGACTTTACTAATAAATAAACTAAAAATAAATTATATGATTGGTTCCCTGTGTTTTGGGATAGTTTTCGCGTTTATTCTCTAATTTTTTTTATTTTTTTTTGTATTCGGGAATGTGTTTATGGATTTTAAAAAGTCTTGTGGGATCCGAACCCATGGAATCCAAATTCTATATGGTGATATTTGTTAAAAAACACTGGGGGTATAAATTCTATATGGTGATATTTGTTAAAAAACATTGGGGGTAGAGGAGGGAGCAGGGCCAAAGTTAACCCTCGTTTTTAATTTAAAAGGTGGGCAGTCTCGTTCCGAACCTCCATGGGGCTTCGTTAATATATATAATAATTATATAAATGTAATAAATAACAGTAATGATTTGAACTTTCAAAATTTAACAAAAAAAAATCATGTTTATAAGTTGTTGCTATAAATATTTTTGAAATGTTATAAATATTTTTGAACTTTCAAAATTTTACATTTTTTTACATGTAAAATTATTATGTTATAAATAGCAATTTTTAACCTAAAAAATAGCTTTTTTAAACCCACAAAACTTACTTTAACTTTAGCCCACTAAAAAAATACCCTAAAATTAATCATGGGCGTGGGTAATCCAGGAATTCAAGGTCGGGAAAATAAGGAAATTTTGAGGATGGGGGCAGGGATGCAACCCTCGTTCCAGTTTTCCCCCGTTGACATCCATATCGGTGTTTACTAAATGTATTTTATTCATCTTTGGTCTTTATGACGTAAAAAAAAAAAAAAAAAAACTAATTGCCTTTATGTGTTTCTTTTTTAATTTTTTTGGGAAATGACTTAAAAGAGAAATGTAACGTCTCTTTTTTTTTTAATACACAAAATACAATTTAAGTATACTTTTTGTATACGGAATACCAACAAAGTACACAAATCTTCAAATAAAACATTATGGTAACCGATTACCTCAGATAAATGAAAAAATAACTTAAAAAGATAACGAAGTTTCTAAAATATTCAAAAAAATATCATTGTTTTTTTAGTACAAAAAATATCATTGAAGCATATCATTTGTAAACAGAATACCAACAAAGTACACATTTTAGTACAAAACATACCACTGAAGTTTCCAAAATGTTCAAAAAATATCATTGTAGTTTTGTTAACTTTATTGTTTCCGGATTATATAGCACATGGTCATCAGAGATTATTCACCGTTGTACAAGTTGTGTACTCTCTTTCATTCCCTCACTTGATCATTTTGTATCTAAATACAATCATAGAAAAACATATAACTAAAAATCCATCAATTAGGATGCAATTCATCTAAGCGTTCTAACACATATGCTTCTCTCTTTACTTTAACTACAAATCGTCATCAAATCAGTCACGTAATGTTGCGTATTCATGTTCATTCATCTCTCACTGGTCCCGGAGAATTAAACGTAACTCATACTCTCTGCATCCACATTTAGAAATTCTCATGACATAACGACGCACTCGTTTCTCCTTTGTGTCTCTCTTATGTCGCAACACTAATGAATGGCTAACCTTGATGTATAATATATGTATCTATATAATGTATATATGGTTTAGGTTTGAGGCATATAAAGCGATCGGGAAGAAAGAATGTTGAACTTAGGTTATTAAGAACGATCGGGTGAGGGAATGAAAGAGATTGCACAACTGTCGTGAACTGATATGACAGTGTTCGATTTCCGATGATTGTGTTACATATAATCCAACAACAACGAAGTTAACAAAAAGTGTGGCATTTTTTGAACATTTTTTAAACTTCGTTACGCTTTTAAGTCATATTTCCATTTACTCGAAGTACCTGGTTACCACAAGATTTTATTTGAATACATGTGTACTTCGATAAAATAGTATACTTTAATGTTATTTTTTGTACTAAAAAAACAGCAATAGTATTTTTTTTTTTTTTGAACATTTTGGAAAGCATGTAACTTGATGGTTACCTACAATAGCCGATTCAATGGTCTTTTATGTACTAAAAAATAGATAATGGTCTTTTTTGTACGTTTTTGGAACTTCATTACATTTTTAAGTCATTTTCCTTTTCATTATTTATTATCATTTTTAAATTAAAAAAGTAAAGAACCCTCCTTCCCCCCCCCCCCCCCCTCTTCAAGTTAATGTTAAACTACATTTAATAAATAAATAAATGTTCAACATCCTTATTCGTTCCTTTGTCCCCATTTCTATTCGTTGATCTGGCCGGAAAATCCATAGAGTTGTTGTTGGAACATTCGGTCAAGTGGTTTTTCCTCCTCCGTCTTTGGTGTTCCCCCTCTCCGTCTCTATCCTTGTCTAGCCAGAAAAACTCGACCATGAAGCCTCCTCATCTCCGCCTCTCCCACTCTCCTACTAGAGTTCTCCATCCTTTACTCATCAAAAAAACACGCACTAGGAAGCCATTAGAAAACTTGAACCATATATCATGGTTTTCTTCATTTTTATTCGATTTATTTCATCTTTGAGAATAAGTTTTCATAAACTTGATTTCTCGTAGGAACCACAAAATAGAAATTTGATTTCTCTGAAATTGTGGTGTTACTTCGATGTTGGTGGCACTTCTCCATTTTTGGTTTTTAGTAGTTATCAAAACATAATTTAATATCAATATGTAAGTTTTTTTTACCATGTGAGTGTAGTCAATTTGAAACAAATCAGTAGAAAGCTATGGATTCAAAGCCTTTAAAGGTTAATGGTGTCCAACGAACCTTAACATTCCCAACTTCTTTAATGAATATGATTTTGGTTTGATCCAGTATAAAGGTTGAGCATTGGTCCAGAACCAAATCGAGTGTTGGAAAGATTGTCCAATGTTATTAAATATTGGTAATATCTATCTATCTATCTCTTATAAAGGAGGTCATTCAAATGAATGTGATTCAAGATATCTCATCTATCTTGAACCATATTTATTTGAAACTCTCAAACTCTTCATATTATGCCACGTAAATGATTATTTAATTGAAATATTTTGCATATATAAGAAACACTTGATTCTATTTTTCTTTTCATTATCATGAGACTGAATAAGCTTCAAATAGGCATGAGTGGACACATTATTGGCATTTCAAAGGCAACTTCCATATGGCATGAAACCGTAGTACTTGAAGGGATGCTTTGGAATATGTCAATATTCCCATTTTGACTATCACTTCTGAATAAGAGTTGCCTCTTTTTAGAATATGTCAATATGGCCCTTCCAAAAATTAACATTATACTTCCAACTGTCCCTAAGAAACCAATATTTGGTAAACCTTAGATTGTCCTCGATAATTTCTTAATGATTTTTAGTCATATCCAATTCTATACCTTTTCTCTCTTAATGCCCCAGGCATTTGGAAAATTTAGAAAGGATGAATATTACAACACATGTAATTGATCCTATATCCGAAGCATATGGGACACGATTCATGATGTCTCACATAAATACATGATACTAGACTAGTCCTTTTTCTACAACATTTCTATTTGCCAAGTTCTCATAATCCAGATTATGAAAAGGGATGTCGTAATCATAATCGAATTTTAGATCGCAAATAATAGACCCATATATAGAATTTCCTTATGTTGAGCCATTCCAACACAAAATTCATATATATCCTTGACTAAAGATGATTAAAACCTCAATCTAAGCTTTTAGACTTGAAATGAAGTACAATTTCCTCTCCCTTAATTATAACAAAACAACTTTTTCAACTGCTGCAACCTCACGAATTGAAAATTTTGTTTTCTATAGTTAACATTGGTAACTTGCAATACTTATCATAATTATCATGCTCCCACTAACATGATGATTATTAGCATAACACTTATGCTCCCGCTAGTTTTGACATGTACTCAGGAATCAGATGGACTTCTAGAAGTCAATACTTTACTGACTTTCTTACCAAAGTTCAGATTTCTGAGACGAGATTGCCTTGATAAGACTTTATCAAAATCATACACCTTATCTTAGATAGCTCACAGGTGTGTCTAAGTAATTTTAAAACTATGAAAAGGGATGCCGTAATCATAGTCTCAATAGTTTAGATCTTTGCTATCTGCTTCAAATCTACTTGGTGGAAGTGTTTCATCACCATCATTTTCATGAATCGGAGAGAAACCTTATGACCCTTAGATTTTATGGTGTATGTGTTCTTATCCATGTGAATTTGTCAAAACCATAATCACAAGACACGGTTAATGACAAATCCAAACTCATATGGACTGAACTTAATCTTAATTTCTTGCCACCTGCAGTGGCGGATTTAGAGGGGTTCCGGGGTGGCACCGGCAACCCCTAAATTTTCTGGCCGCAGTGGAAAATTTTTCGAAATTTTTTAAATTTTTTATTTTTTCTACTATCGTGCAACCCTAATCTTCCCGTGCAACCCTTACTATGAAATCCTGCGTCTGCCCCTGGCCACCTAGCAGCTCAAGGGTTTGCCATTGCTTCCAAGTTGTTATGCAACCAATTGAGAACTCTAAGAACTCTTATGCAAAGCTAACTTTAACTGGAATGGGCACATAAATAGAAATATGTCAACACGATAGGTTATAAACCTCACGTCGTGTGCTAGTGTTAAACTACATGTTTTTATTCTTGATTAGATCTTGAAATTATTTTCAGGGTCTTTAGGACTCCCACTATCCTCTTGAAATATAAGACTATCTTGCCAAATATTCAAGAGATAGTTTGGATTATTCATCAAGACAAACACTTCATATAATTGGTCTTAGTTGGTCTTTGTTTTATTCAAAACATCACAACTTACCAATTACAAATGTACAAGAGTAGGATACTTTTACTCTTACATTTGACTATTGTTAATAAACCTTTCTTTAAGATATGTCACTCAAGTTACAATCTTGGAGTATGACTCTAAGAA